TAAAGTACTCGAAACTTCGGGAATATAAAATAAATTAATATACGCGATGAAATCCGTAAAAACTAGTTCCTCCTTAGGGGTGTTCTAATATTAATTTTGTTAAGATCTCCATAAGAAAATCTTCAAACTCTACAATATGCAATCTGTACCGACTACAATATGCAATCTGTACCGACAGCCCTATGAGCGAATAATTTTGTACCAAGTCAGCCGATTTCGAAAATTATATTCTTTTTACTTCTTTGAAGTCGTTTTACACGTTTTTTTTTTGGTTTAATTATATCATACACACAAATACATAATTTAAAACATTATCTACATACATAATTTTATCCAAATCGTTAGTCGTTTATGAGAAACCAATTAACCAATCACATAACATAATACATTTATACAAAAACTGCTCACTTAAAATATAAGTTTAAAATTACAATAATAAAAATTTATTAATTTTTTCTCGAGCACAGTCGCAGTATTGCGTGTAGCTATAGGAGAAATTCCGGCAAATATGTGCAGGGATTAATTGATGATGTCTCTCTCCCCTATTCCACCTTTATTGACGACATTATTAAACGCGTTCTCACAAAATGCCTTGCTTCGTCGTTCGTAATATGTACAGAAAAAATTGAAATAGTTTGGCTTCAAAGGGAAAAGCTTTTATAATGTTAAAACAGTGTAATTTACCATTCAGACTAATATCACCACTACTACCAAGTACTGCTTACATAATATATTACTTTTAGCTATATTATGGTTGAAGCACGAATGGGTCGGCTCGACCGGGGTAGGACCACGCTCTCACAGAATACCAGCGTAAAATAGCGGCTTGATACTGCTGTATTTCGTATAGCGAGTGTAGTGAAGCGGAGAACCTTTTTACACAGTGGTGACATTTGATTCTTAATCGAGAACCAAATCAATGTAGATGTCTATGCACCACAGCATCCACTGTGTGATCGTTTGTCACCTTTATTCTAAAAAAAACACTTTAAAATATATACGTAATTAGATTCAGTAAATTAACATATTTACCAGTTTGAGGTTGTGTTCGAATTTTTAACTGTTACAAGATTGTAGTAATTTTAAAAAAAAGTAAGTAAAAAAGTGTTCAAGTTTTTACCAGGCTGAACCACGTTGCTGCATATGGTTCTAGAATGAATAGGTCGAAATATACACAACCGGAGTAGGGTCACATTCTCACGGAACTGCTGTGATTGTGCATATGGAGTATGACGAGAAACGGTGACCTAATTACTGTTATGACTGCTCGTTTATCACCCTTACAGAAAGTTGCTGGTTAAAGTGGGGCGAGGGGGAGGTGCTGCCGCGGTGGTGGACACGTTATTTATTTAAAAAGCTGAAGGTACTCCGGTTTAACACTGACATGGGGACGTCAATCACCTCAGTCCCCCGTGACCACGGTTGCTGAAAAGCAACCGAAACGTCGGGAATATAAAATAAGTTAATTAAACGCGATAAAATCCGTAAAAATAGTTTTATTCAATATGTAGTGTTCGCGTACATATAAGAAATCAAAATGAGAACATCATCAACATAGTGGAAATACGCATTATTAGAGAAAACTCAAAAAATACTGATCTGGTGTTAATTAATTTTATATGGGACCACATGAGAAGCCCCAGTTTTTAAATAAAAAAAAAACATCAAAATCGGTCCACCTAGAAGGAAGTTCCAAGATAACACATAAAAAAGCAGACAAATTGATGACCTCCTCCTTTTTTTACAGTCGGTTGAAAACCTCCTTTAAGACAGGTATATGTAGGTGTGGCCACATTAAAAAAAGTCAAGCACACTGTTCAAGCATAATTGTATTTTATTACTTCTTACGTGTTTAGTGTTCAATTGAACCATTCTTATCCAATTGTATAATCGGTGTATGTCAGTTGCTCAAAGTCACTTTTAAGACTTTTCACTTTTTTAATTTAGGCTTACTTAAAGCTCTTAAGAACATTAAAATACCTATACACCGCTTCGCATAAACAAGACTTCAGAGAAGAATGAGCAAGAAATGCTAATCTTTTATATTTTTTTAAATGTCAGTTTACAATATCAATACAATGTCAAAATATCCATTAATATCTTAATTATATATCATATTTTAACTGTTCTTACAGCTAATATGACTCCAATAATACTGCAAGGCAAAACTTATTACCATTATAATCTGTAATGATGGTGATGATTATATAACCTCAAATATTTGTATTTATCTTGTCTTTAAAAATTCAAAGAAAACATCAGTCTTCAAAAATGATAGTACACATAACAGTCATGAATACAGCATTGGATATTCCAGAATGCTTTGCAGCTTAAACAATGTTTTCTATCAACTGTTCTGACAGTGCTCAGGTTAGACATACTTAACATTATTATATCATCTGTCAGGGGCAGTTAGATATTACTGCATAATCATCATCATCATCATTACAGCCCTTCACAAGTCCACTGCTGAACATAGGCCTCCCCCAAAGAATGCCACAAAGCACGGTCCTGAGCCACCTGCATCCATCGACTTCCTGCATGTCTTACCAGGTCGTCACTCCATCTCGTGGGGGGACGCCCTACACTTCGCCTACCGGTACGAGGCTGCCACTCGAGAACCTTTCTTCCCCATCGGTTGTCGGTTCTTCGAGCTATATGGCCGGCCCACTGCCACTTCAGCTTACTAATCTGTTGGGCTATGTCGGTCACTCTGGTTCTACTGCGGATATCCTCATTCCTAAGTTTATCACGCAGAGAAACTCCGAGCATAGCCCTCTCCATAGCTCGCTGAGCGACCTTGAGCTTCCTCATACGGCCAGCAGTGAAGGACCACGTCTCAGTTCCGTAAGTCATCACTGGCAACACGCACTGGTTGTACAATTTCGTTTTAAGGTTTTGAGGTATGTCTGACGAGAAGATGTGTCGTAGCTTCCCGAACGCTGCCCAGCCGAGTTGAATCCGTCGATTGACCTCTCGGTCGAAGTTGGACTTACCTAGTCGGACTATTTGTCCCAGGTAAACATACTCGTCAACAACTTCGAGCTTAGTGCTCCCAACAACTACCGGCATAGGTGTGACATGGACATTGAACATGATCTTTGTTTTGTCCATGTTCATCTTAAGACCTATCCGTTGGGAAACACTATTGAGGTCATTGAGCATAGTGCTTAGGTCCTCCAGCGATTCTGCCATAAGGACTATATCGTCGGCAAATCGAAGGTGAGTGATGTACTCGCCATTGATGTTGATACCGTATCCTTTCCAGTCCAGAAGCTTGAAAACGTCTTCCAATGCAGCGGTGAAGAGTTTCGGGGATATGACGTCACCCTGTCTTACACCTCTCTGCAATTGGATAGGTTTCGTATTCTGGTTCTGTACTCGGATAGCCATCGTAGCCCTACTGTACAAGCACTTCAACACTTCGATATACCGACAGTCAACTTGGCACCGCTGAAGGGACTGCAGCACCGCCCAAATTTCGACGGAATCAAAGGCTTTCTCATAGTCCACATACTGCATAATATGTCTGTGTAACTAAATATTGTGTTGGTGTACGAATATCCACTACTCATAATGTCCAGTGGGTTTCGTTAGAGGCGACAGAGGGAAACAAACTAGGAGATGGGCAGCTGCTTTATTCTAATAACAACAGAAAGTAAACAAACTGCTATTGCTTATCCACCTGCCAAGCGTCGCAACTATGGCAAATATGCCCCTTATAAGGCAACCTATGGGGAGGCTTATTGTCTGCAGAGGGTTATGATAGGCTGTAATGATGATGGTGAACTAAATAAAGGAGTTCATTATAACTAATTCACAGCATCAAGTGACAGACATACCTGTTTCACTACTATATATTTATTTACTAAACCAATTGACCTTACAACATCTATCAGGTAATAAATAAAAACTAAAACTTGCTAATACTTGTAATGACTATACTTTTTTATATAAAATAAGAATCCTATATTTCATAATGACACCGCAAGGTATTGAAAGACAAATAAATATATATATATCTGGGTTGACAACTAAAAATAAAACACCTGAAGAATTATTTTTAGAATGGATGATGAATGAGGTGATTGCTATCTACCTATTTCTAATTTGTTTTGTGTTGTTAATTGTGTAACATATGTACCTATATATGATTGCAAGATTTTTTTTTTCAAAAAGAAAGTCCCACTGGGTTTCTTGCTTTTTTTGATCTTCCAAGGACAGGAGTTTTTTCCAAACCAGTGATAAATCAAACAAAAGAGTGACTTTCAACAAGTATTATTTATAATCTAGATTAAATAAAAAAAGGGTTCCTGTTTCTATTTCTGAACTTGCCCACTCTTAAATTATCAAGAGAAATCTATGCTAATAAAAGCTTGAACTGAATAAAAACATGCAACACTATTTTTATATTTTACACAAGGGACATATTTCAACTTTCCCGGTTTTCTAATTTTGTAAAATTTAATAACATACAATGCTTTTTAATTTAAATAAAATTAAAATGACAAAAGAACCTACAGTCCACCTGATGGTAAGTGGCTGGTGCAGTCCATGCACACCTGCAGCAGACTTTAAACAAACAAGGCTACAGATGTGTTGTCACCTAAGACGATTAACATGGAATACCTCACAGCCTGAACTATACTGGCTCTCAATACCCATCAGGGAGGAACAGAGCAGTGCAAGCACTGCTGTTTGGCGACAAAAATAGGTAAGAACGTGCAGACAGACTTAGACTAAAAACGAATTCTACCTCCCAAAAAAAAATTTATTTCTTTTTTTATTAAAATATTTATACTATTCTATATTTATTAAATCATCTTGTGAACATTTGAACACCTTATCAGACATTTAGATGACATATCTGATGTATTAACAACCCAAATTTTATAACACACTTTTTTTTTCTTTAAATATTGTTGATATGCAAATTGGGTATTAAAATAAAATTTTTGCTTATCAATAGGTCAATATTAACACAAATTTTTTGAACTCACCTGAGAAGTATCACTAGCATCACGAACAATGCAACAAGGGCACCTATCATAATAAAAATATTTGGCAGATCTGCCAAAGTTAGCCCCGTGGATCCCATAATTGTTTCAGTCAATCACAAAATATCAAAACACAGGAAATTAAAATGTGGGATTAAAATACGCATCAGTCACACTGCCACACACCACTCTAGATTTTATGCAGACTATTTTGGAAAAAGCAGCTCATTTCGTTCTGAGCAAAACGACCGGCGATTGCTCAATAATTTACGCAATAACACTCTGTGACTGTCACTGTAACCTTGTCTTCAGGCGATTGTTTCAAACGGGCGCTGTTGTGAATGCGAGTCAACGTGTGAACTCTAATCACAACAAACACAAAATCATTGATCGGAGAGCTGACGACGGCAGACACGAGAATATCGTACGAAATATTTTGACAGAATGAAAATTTGTTGAGAATGAAACGAAAATAGAAATTAAATGATTGTTTTTTTAATAGCAAAGGCATCTGTATCCATAGAGCCTAGTCTGACGTATATTGGATTAAATTAATGTGAATAATTTTATTCACACTATGCATATGCGCAAGGAGTTTAGTTATTATATTCAAGGAAGACTTATCACATTGTGAATTTTTTTGCGAATCCAGCGTACAGTTGATGACAAAAGTATTTCAAGATACCTTAATCTATACAAATAAATAAAATTGAAGTGTCTGTTTGTAATGTCAAAATTACAGTTTTTTACTAAATGCATATGAAAGTAAATACCTATAACTAAAATACAATTTTTAAAATTTTTGTCTGTCTGTCTGTTTGTTCCGGGTAATCTCCGAAACGGCTGGACCGATTTTGACGGGACTTTCACTGGCAGATAGCGGATTTCATAAGGAGTAACATAGGCTACTTTTATTTTAGAAAAAGAATCAGGGTTCCGCGCAGAAACATAAAAACCCTAACACGTGAACGAAGTCGCGGGGAACAGCTAGTAGATAAATAATTAAAGGTCTGTATCACCATTGAAGCACTTGTTACATCGTTTCCACCGAAATTACCAGCTTTAGTCGGTAGTACATCTAGACATGTTTTCTTATTTGCTTCAACTTCCATTCATACCCAATAGGTATCTCATTTTTTGGGTCATCATCAAAAAAATTTCGAGGACATATGAAGTTCTCCAACACGCTCTGGGGCAGCACGGCGGACACTTCTTTGCCCTAAAACCCTCTCAGATACGAGAGGTGGCCTCTACCCAGCAGTGGGACGTTTATAGGCTGTAACAACTTTTAACTTTTTAACTTCATTATTTTTCTACCATAACAAATTCCTGTCATTCATTGCCTTTTCCTTTATCCCACACAGTGTCCACGTCTAATAGCCAAATATTCAAACGCTACTCAATTTTAATATACCGTAAAATTTTGTGGTATCATAGTCTCTTTCACTTAAACTTAAACCGATGCTGGCGAGGCAGCATCGGAATCCTCGGCATCGACATATCGAATAACGTACACTTCGCAGTCGTGATGTTGCTCTGACTCTTTAATCCCTTCATTATCTGGCTTAAGGCAAAATCTGTGAATAAAACTTGACTTCAAGATTCATCGTTCCAATTTTAGTGAATGCGAGAAAAATTAACTTGAGTTACTCGATGGCAGAAGGGACGCTGATGTAATGCTAGCCTAAGGAGCTACATATCAACATTTAATCCGCCTCAGAGGTAACAACGCATCTGTTCTCTTCTTTGTTTCAAATTGTCTGTTGGTTTGCAGGGACTGCAGTAGCCACTTACGATTAGGTGGCCAGTAAGTTCATTTGTCACTTCAGTTTTATAAAGAAATGTATTTGATTCGTTGAACTCATCGACCACTAATAAAAACTAGATACAGAATCCCATGCAAAAATTCTCTAAAAACTGTAGCCAATTGTTTTGACTTAATTCTAGTTGAAATAAATATACATTAATGTAAATTCAACCTTAAATGCATTGTCTAAAGTTTTCACATAGCTACGTAGAAATTAAAAGCGCATCCAAATGTTCGAGTGGGCGCTCATTCGGTAAGGATATTTTTTGTCACTGATTGTGTACCTATCTAGTTTTTTATTAGTGATTGATGGTTGAACTGCACAAGTTACACAGAAATGATGAATAAAAATTATCTAACAGTAATTTGCGGAACAAAAAATTTGTCGAACTATTAAAATTTGGGCATTTTATACGTGGTAGAGCCATGCTGCAGCTATATTATGGTTGTAGCACGAATGGGTCGGCTCGAACGGGGAAGGACCACGCTCTCACAGAAAACCAGCGTAAAATAGCAGCTTAACGCTGCTGTGTTTCGTATGGTGAGTGTAGAGAACCGGAGACCCTTTTTACTGGCAAAGAGGCATTCCATCTTAGTCCTAACGGGTGACAACGCATCTGCATCTTGAGTCTTTATTGAGGATAGATGTAGATGTCTATGGGTCACAGTAACCACTTACCATCAGGTGGACTGTGTGCTCGTTTGTCACCCGATCCTATAAAAAAAAATTTAATGCTTTAATCTACACAATAGCAACACAAAATCTGAGTAGTAGCTTTATAATAGCTTCGGAAATAACAACTGAGGTTTTCAGTCACTTATTTTAATAATTAATAAACCATAATTCATAATTCATCTATTGCATGTCACAAAGTATAAAGTTGTTACAATATTGTTGGCGATGAGTCTATAAAAAATATTTCTATTTATTAGTTAACCGATTACGAACGGCTTCCAAAATTAAATTACCAAGCCATAATTGTCTTATAAGAAAACGCTTAGTTAAATCTTAAAGAAATATCGAATTAATAATTTAAACTTGCTAATTTAAACAGCAAGTGCGGAGTTAATGGAACTACATACCCGGAAGGAGAGCCGCGTACAGGAGTTCCTGTCGAAGCCCGCGCCACCCCTTGCAGGAGAGTGGTTTATATCCCCCGCCCTATTGCGGAGGACAGTAGCCTGCCTACAACCCAGGAAGGCGCCGGGGCACGACGGGAAAACCAACGCAGCACTTCGACAGCTGCCAAATAGAACACTTGTAGAGCTAGGTCGACTCTACAACGGTATACTGCGGACATCCCACTTCCCGGAGGACTGGAAAATCAGCAAGGTGATCGTTCTGCCGAAACCCGGGAAGGACAGGCGTAGAGCAGCCAGTTATAGGCCGATCACGCTGCTACCGCACTTAGCTAAACTGTGCGAAAGATTGTTGCTAAGAAGCTTCCGCCCGTGCGTACAACTTCGGGCGGAACAGCACGGATTCAGGAGGGGCCACTCAACAGCAACACAGCTGACCAGGGTGCTGCACTATCTTGCGGCCGAGTACAACCGCGGCCGCACATCGTTGGGCGTCTTTCTCGACATAGAGACTAGACTACTACTAGAGAGGCACACTGGACTACTTTATAAGTTAGAAACACAAACAAGTACCCTTCCTGCTATGTTGCGGCTAATGGTGTCATTCCTCAGAGATAGGAAGTTCTACGTCTGTGTAGAGGACGCGGAGTCCGCAGCGAGACCAATTAAAGCCGGCGTACCACAGGGCAGCTGTCTGTCGCCGATTCTGTACGCGGCTTACACCAATGACATCCCCACCCTGGCAGATCACGTACCACCAGAAGACAGTGACGTACCTGGGATGCCGGATCGACCGGATGCTGCGCATGACCGCGCACGTCGATGTCGCCGTCCGCAACGCCAGAAGTGCGCGGGCGGCGCTCCGTCCGGTCCTAACCGCAAAACTACCACTGAAAACGAAGCTAAAAATATACAAGACCTATATAAGATCAAGATTCACACATGCTGCGCCGGCCTGGTACGCGCTCCTGAACGATCATCAGAAGCGGCGATTACAGGTCCAGCAGAATTTGTCACTACGGACCATCGTCGGTGCAGGTCGCTACGTCCAGAATGACGTCATCGCGACCAACTTGAAGATGGAGACAGTCGAGCAATTTGTGGCCCGATTAGCGGGCGGTATGTTTGACCGCGCTGATAACGGGCCACATGAACATCTACAAAACTTCGCACCCCTACATGCTCGGCCACCGGACGGGCGACCTCTGCCAAGAGAACTCCTCTCTATAGAGATTAGATAGTCGAGTAACAACCCTCAATGCCGCTGACAGGCCAACTTCTTTTTATAGTAATAGGGTGACAAACGAGCACACAGTCTACCTGATGGTAAGTGGTTCCTGCGGCCCATAGACATCTACATCTATCCTCTATTACAAATAAAAATACAGATGCGTTGTCATCCGTGAGGACTAAGATTGAATGCCTCGTTTCCAATAAAAACGGCCTCCGGCCACCTGCACTCACCAAGCGAAACGCAGAGGTAAGCCTCTACTTCACGCTGGTATTCTGTGAGGTCGTGGTACCACCCCGGTTCGAGCCAGCCCATCCGTGCAACAGCAAAAGCTGCCGCGTGGCTCTACCACTGTTAAATTTTTTTCTTAACGTTTTTCAGGATAAACGGCCATATTATACCGCTTTTTCAGCATTGGCTATATTACCCGACTTCATGAAAAAAATTTTTCATTAAAATTTTAAATCGACACACAGCGACCGGGAACTCAAACCCGCGTCGCTGCTTCAGCTAACAACGCCATAACGGCTCCCACGACCGGTGCATAGTGATGCACCGCGAGGAGATTCCGGGCAAAGGGGGCGTGCCCCGAGGCCCGATACCTGCTGTGTGCATAAGCATACACGCAGACGACTATGAAGGTGTACAAATCGTTAAGGATCTCCTAAGTGTGTGCTGTTTGAGGATTAGCAGTAGTCACAAGCAGCCGCCGGTACGACATACTCCACCGATCGTCGAGACCGCATACTCCGTGAGGTGTCGATGTCACCGGCCCTTAGGCAGATTCTTGGCACTCAAGTGCGTTTCGTGCCTTGTGTGCCAGTCGCGTACGTGAGTGCTCTCAAGCACTTCCCCCAACCCTTTCGTAACGAAAGGGGTAGGCAGTGCCTCAAGTGTTGCAGCCACCTCTACTCGCTCCCGTCCGTTGCGAACGTCGCGCGTCGCTTGCGTCACTCTGCCACGTTAGGAACGGATATAGATAG